TGGGCCTTTAATATTTAGCATTTTGAGTGTATTTCATGATATTAATTAATATGCATATCTAAATTATGGACTATTTTCGGTATAAAATGTAAAAAAAAAAAAATAATAATAATTGTATATAATTTTTCAATTAAAGCAGTATTTAAGTAAAAAAAAAAAAATAGAGCAAAAGTATTTAAAATCCATTGAATTGAGGCAGATTTGTTCCAAAATAAAGAAAATGATCTTTAATCCCATGGTGTAGCCATATATTTTCAGTGCTGTGCATTCCTTAGTTACTGAGCAGTGTTTTCAGGCTGAGTCACCCCTTCATTGCTCTGCAATTATTTGTAGATTGTACACACAAAAACATCTTTGTATTTTTGCCTATTTTCCTATGGCGTCAATTTTTGACCACGAACAACACAAGTGTGACTTTTTTTTATTTTTTACAACCATTTAGCTTTTTTCAAATCAAGCCCATGATTTTTTTTGGGGGTCACATAGCGACACTTTTAACCATAAAAGTCACCAAGTTTAATACCATTCCGATGAAGTAGTGATTTGTTTTAAAATTTGAAAACACACTGTCTAAAATGACCGAACAACAGCAGAGGGTTAATGATGCATGTGATTTTGTATTGTTCTGCAGGCCGCTGGGGCTACCGAGAGCCGAAACCGTATATATCCACAACCCCAGCCCAGAGCTCCCAGTCTCTCTGCTCTCTGTGTTTACATCCAGCAGACATTTTCACATGCCTTCCTTCCACAGAAGGGTAAGTATGCGCCCCATTCATTGTCCCATATAAAAGTATTCTTGCTCAGAGTGCGTTTTATTTTGCGTTACAGGTGATTCCACCCAGAGGGAGAACATCTTTTAAAATCATTTTCCTCCCCACAGTGGAGGGCAATGAAGAAATCACTTTATTTATTAACACATCAACCCATGGGCTGATATCATACCAGGCAAGTTTTACAGAAGTCTGCTGTTACACCGGCACTTTTTCACTGAGGGGCAATGAGCTTAAAATCTCAAGTGCTGTAAATCTATTTGGTTAAAGACAAAAAATGTCTGGGAATCCCTGCATTACATGCAAATAAGAAATAACATGCATTTGTGCATTTTAATGTGTTTGAAAGACAAAAGCCTTCCAAAGACAAAGACTTGATTACATGAATAATATGTAATTTAGAGTATTTTAAAATGTAATCTGATTACAAGTACTTAATTTTTGGAATCTGATTACGCAATCCAGATTACATTTAATCAGTTGTATGTATATTACTATTCAGGTCATGTAATGTATGTTGTCTTCTGTAATCATGTTTTCATTCTGAATAAGTTCCTGGTGACCTGATAAAAGTTATAACACTTCTTTATCATGAATTTCATGAATGAAGAAACAAAACTGTATGGAAATGCAGTGTCCACGCTATCAGTCCAAAGTTTGGAAACACCTACTAATTCTTTATCAAGTAAGGAGGCTGCATTTATTTGATCAAAAATACAGTAAAAATTGTAAAATATTATTACAATTTAAAACAGCTGTTTTCTATGTGAATATCTGTTCAAATGTAATTTATTTCTGTGCGCAAAGCTGTATTTTCAGCATCATTCCTCCAGTCTTCAGTGTCACATGATCTTCAGAAATCAGTATAATATGCTGATCTGCTGCTCGAGAAACATTTCTGATTATTATCAATGTTGAAAACAGTTGTGCTGCACAATATTTTTGTGGAAACAGTGTTAGATTTTATTTTTCAGGATTCACAGATCAATAGAAAGTTCAAAAGAACAGCATTTATTTGAAATGGAAATCTTTTGTAAGATTATTTTAGGGTGTTTTCACTTTTAGATTGATTGAGTATTTGATCCGTAACGTGTTCGATGCAGGGGACTAAAGTTTGCTCACATATGACACATTTTTATGAAATTTGAATCTGAATGAGAAAATGCAACATTATAACAATGTAGTTCTTATTTTCGGAACAAAGCAAACGAAATACGTGTCACAGAAGTGACCTGTTTTTCTTAAGAAATTGTTGACTGGTTTACGTAATAACAAGCTCAATTTAAATTTCTCTGCAAAACTAACTTCAAGCATTTAAGCATAAAAGATTTTATGAAAAGATTTTAAATATTGAGGAACGGCGGTTCACACTGGTGGTGTGTGCATTTGTGGCATCATTCATATATCATGAGATGAGTTTTGTTTCTCTCTCTCGCAGGTCTTTGGGGTTGGTGTCCATGGGGGGTCAGTCAAGGACGTCCATAGAAAAGACAGCGTTCTGTTATTCCCCCACATACAGAGCATTAATCTAACACAAACTCAGGTATGCGTCATGCGTGTGGATCTGCTTTTTGCTTAGTGCTGTGGTGTGCTTAAACACGCAGATGTTCTTTTTTTGTTTACTATCCTTTGTGCTGGATGACGAATGAGGTCCAGCGACAGCTGAGTGCTTCTGTTTCCTATTACTGTCATAGCCATTAACACACACACACACACAGAGACACACACTC